ACGGAACCTTCAAAGACTAGAATCGTTTACATCATTCTACGATGTGTTATGTTTTATGCTATGCTAGCACCTGATGTTGGGCTGTATGTGCCGCCACTGCCCTTGCTCGTTTGCAAGCCATTGCTTGGGTGGGCATGGCTCATCATGAAAGTCCCTCCCCTCTTATGGTCATAGCCATGAAGTTGCTCAAATTCGTTACAATATGTTGCTGTCAACGCGGCATGCTAGTGCCCATGCAAGTTAAGTGGGCATGGACTCTGACAACGAGGCTACTCACTCGGCCTTCTTTTGGCCACAAGACGTGCTAGGCGGACAGGCTTAGGTATATGATATGTCTATACATATACTGATGTCGATCTATCCATTCGCCTGCCCTCCGACTGATTTTTCACAAGCTCTCGCATGTATCCAATACATAGTGCTAGGACCACTGATGGAGCAGCAGTTTTTGCCATTCAGGCATCGGCTCAAAGACTAGTTACCTAACAAAGGCAGACATTTTGAAAGTCGCCGATCTAGTTTCACGCGAAGGGTGTGCATGAAGAACAAGCGGCTGGTTGCACGGAATCAGCGCGGCAGCCTGACCGGCTGACAAGCGCAATTTCAGAAAGCCTTTCAGGACATGGAACGGAAACGGGCGCGTGAGTCGACCAAAAGTGCCAGGTGCCTTGTCCAAGACGGGCGCGTGTTCTAGAAGCTCTGGAAGGGGCCGAACTTCCACCAGTGTTGATCGATGTTGTTTTCTCTTTTTTTGTGGGGGGGGGGGGGGAAGGGAGCACCACGATTGTGACAACTGTTATGTGCGAATGGGTCAGCTGCTGGGGACTAGATATGCACGTAGGATTCAGCGCGAATATACCAGGGAGCCATTTTCCTGCCGCTTTCTGGCGAGATTGTCGTTGGCTGAAATATTCCCGTTGGTCAAAACCTACTGCAATGCCCCTGTTGGACGCAAGGGGTGACTCATCTCTTGTGGCCACACGGAGGTCCCTCCTAAATCAGCCAACCGAAGCCACCGAGCCGCAACCAAAGCCAAGGGCTCAGCCGTCTGGATCGAGCGCGCCGGGGCCTCGGGGTGGGAGGTTTGGGCCTCAAGCTGTGGGTGTCAACATCTGGCCAGGGAAGGTGGCCCCCCATTTCCCCTGGGGCAATAGATGGTAAAATCAGTTCACCTGAAAAAAGGGCTCGATTTTGGGTACTTGTTTTTTTACCCACAGCAACATGGCAATCGCCAGCCCCTGTTATTTTACGGCCGGTACGACCAAGAGTGTTATGTACATTTGCGCTGTCTCAGCCGTTTGCTGACCGGTCTCTGCATCTTCAGAGGTCTTCTTTGACACATAAGAACCGTGCGGCCTCCAACCTTCAACTCGGAAAAGGATGGGCAAGCGGGCTCGCATTCTTTTTGACAAGATCGCTGCACTGACATTGTTTCCCTTGAGCCTATTATTTCAGCCTGGCATCGCCTAGTCACTGGGAGGTCAACTCGGAGTTTTGACCAGGACCCAAATGTGGGGTCACGCTGCCTGCCCGGACTCCTCGCACAATCAATGTGGGATCAGCTTGTGATGAGCAGTCTTGTGCAAGAATGTGGTGCCGGGCTTTTTGGTTTGGTCTCAACACGGGGAATGCCATGAAATTGATGGTTTCCTGCTGATGTTCCTTTACGCCGCCCGCAACAAGGGGCCTCAGAGCACTTTGCCCAGACCCATTGCAATCAATCTTTGGGTCGCACTGAGGACATCTTGAGCTCGGAGCACCTCTTCATGTTCTGGATCGTGGCACTCCCGCCTGGGCCTCCCAGTTGGAGAAGCGGTTGGACGCATATAGGAGGTTGCTGTTTCGGAGGCTGGGTCAGAAATCGAATCAAGAAATAGAAGAACACACCTGGACTCGTGCCGAACCATTCAGACAACGTTCTTCGAGCTCTTGCTGGTTACAGAGAATAGGGATGAATGGTTTGATGTTTGAGTTTTTCTCGTTTTGTTTTGTTTTGTTTCTTTTCTCTTTTGGCTTTGGTTGTGGCTGCGCACGGATCAAGGTGTCGAAGTTTTATGCTCGGACTGGTAGGAGGAATGCCCCTCGCATGGCATGATGCGCATCCAGCTACCTGTCAGTGCAAGTTAGCGTAGCAAAGCGCGAAAAGCGCTGGACAGCTTCGAATTTTGGTTTCGGTCCCGGGAACCTCGCTGAGGACGCTGGCGGGGGGCGAGCTCTTTGGGCTGGCCTCATACACCGGTGCCACTTGGCAGCGGAGGGGTTCAAAGCCAGTGGGACCTGCGAAGAGCTACCAATCTGCTTGGCTCCTGGCAAAGAACCATGGAAAGCAAGGAGCAGGAACAGTTGGCAAGCTGCTTTGACGCTCCCTTCCCGCCAACATGGGACCCGAGGCAGGTTTTTGGAAGACAAGCTGCCTTTCTGTGCTAGTTTTCTGCTAGGGCTAGGGTCCTTGTGCCGTCGCCTCATCTAGCTGTCGCATCCTGAGGCTCTCCTGGCAATGCACTTCCTCACTGGGGTGCCAGGCGGGGTGTCCGCTCCACAGTCTGCTGAAGCTCATGCCACCCCCCCTCCCAAGCACACATCCCATCCCAATACGGGTGCATGTGGCACCTCACATGTTGTTTGAAGAGCAAGAAACAATGTGCATCTCATGACAGGTTTATCTAAGCGCGATCATGCGTAGCGATTTTGGGGGCCCACTCTCTGTCATTTTGCATCGCTCTTCTCGGGTGTGGCAAATTGGAATCTTTTAATAGTTGCCAGGGTGACAGGTGCCTGTGTCACGTTATTGCCTCAAGCGAGTTTCGTTCAGACAAAGTGGTTTTCCTCCTAGCATCCCAGCAGTTTAGCGCGGAGTTCAGGGAGGTCCCCTGGAATTCCGTTTCCCTTGAAGCTGCCCTGCAGGATGGGGATGCTTCGCGGCCGGGCAGGGACCTCATGGACCTGATGTCTTGTTTTGAGGGCACACTTTGTGGCAAAGGAAGCCAAAAGTCAGACCGGCGTGGAGCAACTGGTTTTCACCGTATCATGGTTTGCAGGCAGATGAACTTGAATGTAGATGGCGATTACCAGATGTCTTGTTTTGGGGCCCAGGGCGGAAGTCACGAAATTAGCAGTACGGTCCCCAATGGATGATTACAGTGCTTAACCGACGGCTAAACAAAGTGACAGGTTGACGCCAGGCATTCAGTCAAACTGACAGGCATCAAGGAAAGATGTTGGAGTTTCCTCGAAGGTAGTGATTGGGACGTCATCTTAAACGTCTAAAGTATGATCTATCAAAGCGTCGCCGGGCCCATAGCCGCCTTGTCGCACCAAGGGCGTGGCTTTTGGTGCCCGTGATCGCATCGGAGCGCGTATCTCAGGTCAGAGGGAGTCCTTGTTGTCGGTAGCCGGGCACGGCCCATGCCCAGGTGGCTTTCACGGGATCCTGTTTCTTGAGTGCTTTGGATTGGATGGCTTGGCATCTCCAAGAGCTTCACAGAAGAAAGGTCGCCCGTCACACTTATCCACATTGATGCCAGGGACGTCTAAAGCTTAGATATGTTCACACTTGAGTCAATGGAGCATTCGCATCACATGCCCAGCTTAGGGTGTGCAGTCCTACCCCTTTCGTGTTGCCGAATCCCCTGGCTTGCAAGTGATGTTCAAGTTGGCCTTTTTATTTGCCGGCCAAATCCCGCTCATTCCAGGAGCCAGAAACCGCGTTTCTTCGAAGGTCCAGGCTAGTCTCCCAGGATTTAGCAACCTCACCCGAGACTGGCAAGGGAGGGAATCGTTTGCAAGTCACTTTCCGCGTAGCACGGTCCAACATTCGTGCCCGCCGTGCTTCGTGCTTCGGCATATAGCAAAATTGTGGGCTCCCAGCGGTTGGCGCCTGCAAAACGTTGAGGCAACGGTTGTGGGGTTGAGTGGCGTGGAAGTAGGGGGGATCGTGATTGGTAAGCTGTCAGGTGTCAGCAATGCACTTTCTCTTTTGCAGATCTCCATAGTGACTCTCTTCAGTGGTAGCGCTGGTTGCCTGCATTGCAGAAAGGATCGATGGGATGCTGCGCGAGCGTGGCAACACTGACTTGCTTGCAGGAACTTGGTGCACGAGGAACAAGTCTAGTTTCAGTTGATGCAGGTGTCGGAGAACTCATCAACTGCTCCTTTGTAGCCCCGGCCAGCCACGACCAGCCTTTGATTTTTTTGGGATCCAGATGCTAGTTGCTAGTTGGTAGTGTTGTCTGTGGGTGGGTGGGTGGGCGGGTGGGCGGGTGGGGCGGGCGTGCATGTCAGATCCATTCTGGCCAGGTTTTTTAGCAGGTCTTGGCAGAATCGGGCTTGGGCTTTACGCAAGGTCGGGGTTCGCTTGTGCCTTTGGAAACAGCTCGTTTGTGCCTTAGGATAGTTATCGCTTGTGCCTTTGGGCGATCTTGCGTGAGCAGCACCAACGGCTGGCGCGGCAGCATGGCAGCATGAACGGTAGGCGTAGCACCTGCACCAGCATCAGCAGTACCAGCGGCAGCAGCTACAGCAGCACAATCAGCAGCAACACATCAACATTTGCATACCAAGTGTTTCTTGCCGCGCAAAATGTATTAGATTTCTGTGAATACATGTTGCTAAATTTGCGGAACACTGTGTTGCTCAAGTAAAGCCAGGAATCATGAATGAATGAATTTCACACCCTCCCGCTTCCCCTCCATTCCCCCCGTCCCCCCTTATCCCCCCCCATCTCCCCCACCCACACCCCGTTCCCCTCTCATCCCTTTTCGGGCTGCAGGCCCAGAGCTCAAAGGCGCAAGTGAAACCAACGACAAAGATTTTCCACCCCCTGACTTTGTGCACGGCCTGCTTCGCAGCACGGTCGTTCGAGCTGTTGCGTGTGTTTGCAACGTGACTGCATGTGAGTGTGCGAGGTGTCATAAGGGACGAAACCTGCTTATGTTGTCTCCCTCGACTTCAGTTTTGCAAATTGACGTTTCTATAGGCCACGACTGCCCAGTTTGGAGGCCATGGCGCCTGCTTTCGCAATCTTGGCCTCAAACGATGCCGCCGCCAAGGCGTGTGGAGGTTTGCAAGTGGGATCAGGGTTGCTGAAGAAAGCATACATCCAAAAACGACCTGCTTCCCAGTGCATCCTCTGAATTAGCTGGTAAAGGTGATCATGTTCCAAATGGCCCAAATCGACCCTTTAGGGGTTCCGAATTTGTGAGGTACAAGTCAGTACAAGTCCGAATCAGTGAATTGACTCACCTGTGCTTTATAGGATCCAAACCGCCTGCAAGCCTTTTCAACGGAACAGGGGGTGGGAGGGATTCAATAGAATCCCATGGGTGTCAGTTGCGATGGCTTCGCAGTTCAAGCGAAGCCCATTTGAAGTTGCCAATTCGTAGAGTTCCGCTTTGGGTGGCTAAGGGCGTGGGGCTCATCAAAACCCGGCCCATTTGCATGGACTGAACGTTGGAGGCATGGCTAAAACTGGGGGTCGGGACCCGACTGACATACAATACGGCCTGGTTCTTGCAGTCCTGATCATTCTTCTGCCATTGCTGTGAGCGTTTCGTTTGGCTATATAGTTCATCTACAGACGCTTATGTCAAATGCAGCACTGAGCCGGGACATGCAACCTGGAAGCAACATGAACCCTTCTTGCTCATGCAGGCTTTGAGCTTGCATGGATTTTTCAGAGTGTGAAGGTGTGCCAACCGAGACTCACGTGTTGAGAGGGTAGAGGGCAGATGTGGCCAGTACCGCCGGTTTGCTTGAAACAGGCAACAAGGAGTCAACCTTGGCTTAAGACGATATCCTCCTTGACAAAAGGGATCCTTGCCAAAGAAGAATTCAGAACCCCCTTCCCCACACACATCCATGCTTGTACTCACGCTTAATCATTTGTTTCTGTGTGTTAACCGTGGGAGACGCCAGGTGATTTCGTGCTTGTTTTTGCCAATACGTTTCGGAAACCAAGGCTCAACCATGGCCACAGCCCGACCACTACACAAGAGCACGGCACGAAAATGGATACAACTTACCCAGGTCAAGCCAACCTTGATCACCATCTTAATCATGATGGTCAATTCAATCTGAAGCATGCCAATAAGTTACCAAGTCTCCTCTTCAAGCGCGTCGCTACCCCTCCTATGACAGGCCAAGTTTTGGCATAGTGCCAACCCCTATCCAACCCCTTAAGTCGCTACCCCCTCCTATGACCCTTCATATTTCCCTTCAACCAGCAAACAGTTTTCTGCTTTTCGCTGGGGGATGGGGGATGGGGGATCCACAGCTCCCTTGGGGCTGTCGCGCAGGTGGCAGGCAAGAACTCGGCCTCCGCGGGGGTGCAGCTCTTCCAGCCACTCGATTCGGCCGCCGAAAACTCGCGCGGGTCGAGCGAAACGGTTTTGTTCGCCCCAAAAAGCTTTGGAGACAGAGCCGTATGTTGGAACCCCAAGATTTCAGTTGCCTAGGCTGACTTGGATGGGGCGCGAAAGGCGAGGCGAATGCCCAAAGAAGAAGTCCATATCATAGATCGCCCTTGGACCCACTGAACCGCGAGGTTGCCCAAGGGGTGTGTAAAAGATGTACGACCACCTCTCGACAAAAGCCAGTTCGGAGTCACACTCATAGCCCAGAGCCGCCGTGGTAAGCCGAGGATGTTTTCTTCGACTTCAGCCTTGCTGGGCTTGAGCCGATCTGCAGACTATTCAGCAAGCAATGCAAATCTGAGACCTGGCTGCAAGTGTTTGAGGCACAGTGAAGGCACATTGCTCATGTTGTTGTTTTTTCCAGTGGGCCTGTTGGGTAGTGACGCATGACATCGCCTTGCCGCTATTACGAGAGGCTCGTCAGATGTCATTCAGGATCTTTCAATACTTCGGCCGCTGGATGCCAAGCAGAGGGAAGGGACAAGCGAACATACCGAGTATGGCCCTTTGTTTCCGACATAACACGCGTTCTGTATGTCCAGCCGACATGCAACAACCGCACTGATTATCACGGCAGGCGCTTGTTTCCATCAGATAGAAGCCGTCCAGTCTCACTTCCTGAGTTATGGACTTTAAACGACCATTTTACTGGTAAATTATTAATAGGTTTTGCTTCCATTGGGCCATCTACGAAAAAAGGTGAGCAGTGCTCCAGCGTTTTTTTTCATTGGCCCATGGTGTGCCTCGATTACAGGAACTGCCTCATCAACTTTCGGCGCACCAACGGCGTCAACGGGCAGAGCCGCCTGGAAGGAGACAGCCGGGGATTTCGATGCAAAATGCCCCCGAGGGGCGAACCATCCAGCTGGTTGTTTCCTACTGGGTGAAATCGAGGTCCGTTCGCACCCAAAAGCGTGAAACCATGATTGAAGCCATGGTTGGCACTAGACGGGGGAATCGAATCATTCTGTTGGAAGCTTCTTAGGTGGTGCAGAATTTCGCAACCATCCACAGCAGGTTTAACCCCCTGGTTGCTTAGGGTGCCCAAGGGGGGTAGGAGCCGAGCTCAAAACATCCACCAGGTTGATAATCCCAGGGTCGGCATGGGTTCCCATCACCTGTGTTTCTCCTGTTGGGGTTCCTGGCTTACGTTCGGTGCTGTGTGCAAGCGCATGCCGTGCTGCCTGCTGTTTAGCTTGCTTGGTGGGTGAGTGACAGTTGTTTTGAGAAGCTGCGGGGGAGCCTTTGCAAGGACCCTTCTGCTTGAGGTGACTGTGCCTCTCAAAACGATCATGGAACCTGAAGCAGGGCTCGTGTTGGAGGAAGAGTGCCCAAACTAGCGGACCCCTTTCCGGAATCGCAATATAGACCCAATTGCAGTTTGGTCAGGGTGGGACCCCCGCGCGAGGCGTCCCACAGCACTGCAAAATGATGAGGGCAAACAAGACGAGGACAGGTCGTTGGCAGCGACCAAGGCAACATGTGGGGCGAGATCGCTGGCACTGGCCTCGCGGGAGGCGGAACAGGAGCAGCTGGCAAGCACGGCGACACCAGCGCAGGCACTTTTTGGGGCTTGTCTCCAAGTCTCCAAATGGGCGGGTTCTGAGATTGGGGAACCACTTTTTGAAGGGACTTCAAAGACAGCCTATGCACGCCATTTTGAGAGAACCTGGAACCCAATGCCGTGGTTGCAAAATAGGAAGTTAGCTGTTGGGTTGGTTATGTAGACCATGAACCAAATTTGAGAGTAAGCTAGCAAACATATTACTGTAGCTCAGATAGCTGGTAGTCGGCTAGTTAGCCATGTTCATAGCTCAACTAGCTAGATCGTTAGCCAAATCATCCGCTCAGCTCAGTGTGAGCTAGTTAAGTTAGCAAGTCAGGTGTCAGTTGTCCATTGGATTCCCCTGGCTACAGCCCCCAAAAGGGTAGGGTACCCAAACAACATACCCATTGGCCCATTGGCAACAGGTTTTGCGGGCGGTCTGAGAAGCGTTGCATTCGGGTGGGTCCTAACTTTGCCGCGTGGAGGACGTTCGGCAATCTTCCAAGAGGAATCGTGAATCCAGATTTAGGGGACCATGTTCTTAGCGAGGTCGTCTCAACAACTTGGCGTAACTCAGTTTTTTGTTTCAACGTGTACAGCTCACTTCCTAAATTCCTTGACTTTAAACTGTTTGGGAAGACCATTTTAGTGGTCAACAATTAAGTTCGCACTTCTTTGGCCAATCCACTCTGGAAGTGAGCTTTGCGCGACTTGTGGTCGGGTTTTGCGCCTCGCCGGTACAGCTTGTTGGGCTGTCAGGTGCTGCAGCCGCGTCGGAGGCATACACCGCAGATGGCCTGCCAAAGAAGCTGCCCAAGACGCCGGAGCCCGCCGCTGGGTTAGGGAACTGACACTTTTTGCATTGACACTTTTGGGGTCGATTGATGGAGCTTTCTTGTGGAAGGGGCTCCCTTTCCTACCGCGCTGTTTTTAACTTGCACACGCGGGGAAAGCGTGTATTTTCCCAGTTCTCAACAACTGTTTGGTGATTCGGTCAGAAGCCCCAGCCGTATGAAAGATGTGCCTGGGCAATGTGCTTTGTACCTTGAATCGGCAGTGCGGGTTGGCATGAGGACGGTCCCTAAGTGGCTACACAGCATGCTGGTTGGACACGTGGTGACCTTTGAGCATTATTTAAGATGCGCACGTCGCTTTGGCGAGCCGCTGAACTACCTGGTTGGGACCGAAATCCGCATTGACCTTCGGGTTTGAGTTAGTCCCCTGGGCAGAACATCGCAAAGCAACAAGTCAAGCGTTCCGAGGCTGCTTGTTCAAAGTGGGCCCCAAAGAGGCTTTCCTTCATCTCGCGGGGTCGTTGCCCTTCTCCCACCAGGGCCAGTTGTTCACTCGGAACTTCCATTTGCTTAAGAATATGTTCTATCTTCCCCTTTTGGTGTTAAAAGGAATCTGCCACTACCATGTTTTCCGGGCGTTTTTCTTTGTTTCCAGGGGGCGAAACCGCAGATGGAAGGGAAGCCTTGCGTCCAAGGACTTTGTCAGCAAGTACCCCCCGTCCTACTACCACCGGGAGCCTGCCCGCGCGGACCTGGCGATGAGCCTGCGGGAGGTGAACACCGCCATGGAGCTGCAGCACAAGAGTAACTTCTCGTCCATGGAGAAGGACCTCCGTGGGTGTAGAAGCCGGTGCTTAAAGGGGCGATCGGGGATGTCAGGTAAGTGCGTAAAAACATGTAAAAACCATGGTTGCAATCCACAGAAGCCGTGAACTCGGTGAAAAAGCCGGTGATTCGGTCGGTGCTTAATTGTTTACACCCGGGTTCAGAAAATATTCGCGCTCTGCTTGCAGCAACTGGCATCCCTTTGAAATTGGTGGGTCCTCCAACGCTCAAAGACTTCCCACCAAAGCACAACGCCGTTTGAGTCAGCAAACCCGTTCGCAAAGTGGCAATGTTGCAATGCGCATTTTGATGTGATTTTTAGTATTCGCCAACCTGGTATCAGGGACCTCCAAGACAGGAACATTCATTGTGGGTGATGTCCGGTAAGGTTAACCAAATCCTTTTGTGGGGTCGCGATTTAGCTGGCACCTTTGGTTGTCTTTGTTTTGAGGGCACCTGTTTCCCGTTGGTTTCACAACGGAAACCAAAAGGACACCCACCATTTGGAGGGGATCCAACTTTCTAAAAAGGCACACCATCCCTGAACCCGGGCGTAGAAAAGCACGGCAGGGTACTTTGTAAGAGGGTAACAACCATGGTTATCCCACTGAGGAGGCTTACAACCATGGGAAGTTGGTTGTAATCATGGTTAATACCCACTTGCTAAGTACCCTGCCCCTTTAAGAGGACTCCTGCAAAAGATGCCACTTCCCAACCAACCAACCAACCAACCAACCAACCAACCAACCAACCAACCAACCAACCAACCAACCAACCAACCAACCAACCAACCAACCAACCAACCAACCAACCAACCAACCAACCAACCAACCAACCAACCAACCAGCCCAGTACAAAAACCAGCCCTAGGAAAACAACAACACCTCATCCATCCCTAACCCGGGTGTAACAAATAACCGAGACCGAATCAATTACTAACCACTTACCTGACGCACCGAATCGATCGCCCGTTTAGGTACGTTCCAGGAAAAAACAACGTCTAGCCAACCTGATTTATGACGTTTGCCTGTTTGCATGGCTCTGCGATTGCTTGAAGACTTGGATTCAAGCTTTGTTTCTTGGGCAGGTGCTTGAAAGACTTGTGGCACGGACAGGCTGAACACATTTCGACCATGGATTGCTGATTTCCGGTGTGCCTTTGGCGACGACATGCGACGACTAGCGAGTCCCGCATCTCCCGCAGGAGGGCTTTACACCAGCGCGAGGACTGCAGGTGAGCATTAAGACCAAGGAGAAGGATGACAAGGTCCTGCTTATTGCGAACCTGGCGGCGTGCACTCAGGAGAAGTGCCATCCATGAACTTCAGGGGTTCAAGCCTTTTGTAGTTTGGGTCTGAGCCCAAAAATGTCACACGTGTTCAAGCTATAATAACCACTTCTCCCTCTTCGCACGTTACAGGAAGCAAGTGCCAGAGATGAATCTTGGCAATCCTTCCAAATGTCCTGAAGCTGATTGGTCCGAGTTGAGGACCAGCACGACGGCGTGAGCTGGGCGCTGAAGCGAGGGGAGCAGACCGTGGGCCCCTTGCACAGCACCTGGACCCACGACCTGGGCCGCGTGCAGGGCCTGTGCATGCCATGGCTGGACAGCCCGGAGAAGGCGAACCTGGACTGCGAGTACTCGGTCTGCTGCCGCATGAAGGGCGCGGTGAGGCCCAGCCTCCGGGGGTTGAGGGGTTGCCGGTTTTCCGGTTGATTCTGGCGGCCGGAAGGGGGGGGGGACGTTGCATGGCACAATTGTGGGTGTTGCACATCAGCATGGCCATGCTGAAATTCTTTGGGTGTTGGGCGTGCGGCCCTCCTTGGTGGCCCGACACCCGACACGATTGTTTCATTGGAGTGCGGCCCGCCTGCTGCAGCGAACACGCCTCAGTCAGGATGACAAAAGCTGGGCGGAGCCACAGCAACACGTAAGTCACAGAAGAACAATGTTCTTTCCCATTCTCCCCCCCCCTTTTGTCCCAAAAAGGGGTTTCCACCAGCGTCGCTGGGCTGGGCCGCGCAGGATCTCGCAGAACGGGGAGCGCCGGCAGCTGGCAGCGGTGCTGCTGCCTAACGTGCAGGCAAGCGAAGCTGGGTGCCAGGTCCTGGAATCCCCACCCTTGAAACGTGCGGTCATGTACCGCAAATGAAGGGGTCCCCCATTTGCTGAGGGGTCTTGGAAACTCCAGGTAGTTCATGGTTGCTTGCGACTTATGGCCATTAAATAGTGAGGTAATCGATAGTTTGTCGATTTGTCCAGACCCCCCACCATGATAGAGCTGTCAAAACCTAATGGAACTCCTTCGGTCTCCGTAAATGAGGTCGTGCATGCCAAGTGAAAGCGCTGAGTTTTGGTTATTTTCTTGTAAGTTTACCCTTCCTTTCTCCCTGTGAGAGGGTTCCTGGAATATAAATCGTCTCTTTGACCCCTGTGAGGCGCCATGTTGGTTGGTTGGTTGATGCCAGCCATTTCGAGACCTCGACATGTCCACTTGGGGGCCCGGCTGACGGGATTGCGACCTCGCCTCACGCAGGTGGCGAGCGCGGAGGGCTGTGAGGCTTTGGCGGTGCAGCCCAACAAGTGGTACGACGTGCCGGGCTTGTCGCAGGTCTCCTACACCAACACCGGGGAGAAGGCCATCCGGCCAACGCCTGGGAAAAGTGAGGTTCACTGGACCGGAAAAGCAAACATGCGACTCAACCTGTAGTTCTGACATGGCCACCTGGAGTCTCCATGACCCTTTAAAATGGGGTCATTATCCCAAATCAAGGGGTCATGGACCCAATTTTGTACGGGTCATGGAGGCTCTAGGTATGACTTTTAGTCGGGGGCAACAGCTGAAGTTGGAGTGGAAACTAAACCGCCCATGACCCAAATTGGACGCCCATACCTAACAATACCCACGCCCCCGGTGCGCAATGGCAGGTCTTGGTGTTCTGTACTGTTCGGTACACCGCGCTGTGGACCGACGAGATGACTCGCGGGAGGCCGGCATGCATCATCTCGCATTTTTGCTCTTTTGGGTCCGAAATAGCCCTGAAATTTCAAGTTGTTTCCAGCAGGAGATCTGACATTTCCATGTGTTTTGCTTCTTCTTCTTTTTCTTTTTTTTCTCGAAAGTAGATCAAAGAGCTGTTTTTTTTCAGGCCTCTTGCCGTTGACTGCGGATTCTTCCCCAGGACACGCCACTAGTCAGGGAAACCCCACTAGTCCCGTCTGGTCCGTAAGGCCAGAGGTCGCGACCTAGGTTCGCGGTATCACGCGGTTCAACCATGTGGGACCTGTCCCTGCATGCCATGAATCCCCCAAACAATCAACTCCGCGCGACCCAATCCACTGCTTTTTTCTTGATTGGGGGGGGGGCGGAGGGGAGTTGGACATCGACCTGCGTTCCCCTCTCCGCTTGCCTCCAAAACCCTGAGCCCTTTGTTCCTCCATTTCCCTTTTTAAACCTCAAAAAGTGGCAAGCGTTTCAATGGAAGCCACCCTGAAATTGATCACTTTGGAGGAAATCCAGTGACCTCTGTAAACCCACCTTACTTAATGGGGCATTGTACTTAGTCAGTGGGTTACATCTTATAACCATGGTTATATCCCACAAGAGCCCTGGTCATAAGTCTCCGTTCACGTGGGTTATCTCACCAACCTCACTCTCACAACTTTCCTGACGTACCCCGCCAGTGGTCTTTTGGCAGCCAAAAGGAAGACCATTTTGGGGTCCAACCTGAAACCCATTTGGCCATGGGTGATAACCTCCATTTTGGGGCGGATGAACACCCATGTACCATGTTGATGTTCACCAGGGGCTGTGGGCCAATTTGAGGGAGTAAAGCACTGAGACCGAAAAGCCTTGGCCCAAGCCGTGAGGTTCAGCATCTTCCGGGACGGCCAAATGTTGGACCCGGAGCGCTTCGGCCTGCAGTCTGTGCGCGCCACACAGAAAGGCCTCAAGGGGGTGGCGGCAACTCGGATTTAGACGGGGGAGGGGGGGGGCAGGTGATCCTGTTCTCCCATTTGCTGAAGGATCTGTTTTGTTTTTTTCTTCCCTGGATGTGCTTCGTCTCCTGGTGGTTTGAAAGGGAATTTATCACTACTGGACATATTTGTAGATTTTCCTGGGGACTTTAGAGCAAATGGACATTTTCTGTTGAGCAACTCAGGTCATGACGATCATGGATGATCCGCAGGAGGGCCCTCACGTCTACGAGGCGCAAGGGGGACGCCGAGCTCCTTGTAACGGCAGCGGGGGCCAGCCAGGTGCTCCACCATGGCCAATGCAACGGTACTTGTAGGGTGCGGACGTGTGTTGTTTGGCATAGGGTTCATGCAAGTTTGGTGTGCTTAGGATATGTTTGGCGTGCAACAGTGAAGAAGAACAGTACTGTATGTTTGTAAGAAGCTTTTATTCCAATCATTATTCATGACGCACCCGCCCACCTCTCTTTGCACTTGACCAACGTCAAGTGGGCGTGTGTGAGTGTTTCTACACGTGAGATTCGGACCCCTTTTTGGTTGGCACGCCCAGTTGGAAAGCCCAGCATCTCAGGGCACCAGAGCCCCCCCCCACCGCCCCCCACCCCCCACCCACCGCCCTCACGTCTTGGGTATCTTCAGGTGCGGGCGGCGGTGACCACGGAGGAGGGCCAGATGCGGGTACTGCACCTGGACGCTGCGCCCAGGCCTTCTTTTTTCGGCTCGGAAAGTTGGAGAGGCCTCCAGCAACGTGGGACCCAAGAAGCCAGCAGGTCTAGAATCCTAGTAGGCACCAGTATCTGAAAAATGTGTTGAGTTCACCGTCCAGATTTTGGTTGAAGGGTGTTTTGTGTGGTCGAAACGATCTTTGAACCCTTGGAACCTGGAGACAAACCACCAGGGCAATCCCCTATGAGACAAACCTATCAAGGATGTTGTCCATCAGCAGTAGTGTGGAAAGATGGTTTGGGTTTCCCCGCTGGCAGGCAGCTGGGACTGCTGAAGCTGCCAGGCAATGCGGTCTTCGGGCCATTCAGGCGGGTTGCTTTTTTTGGTCGTGGCGGAGGTCTCTCTCTCTCTCTCTCTCTCTCTCTCTCAGAGTCTCGAGTAGTGTGACTCTTTTTTGTCGACCCCGGAAAACCTAGCTGCATTGATTTTCTTTGTTTTAGTATTGTGCACCTTTTACTTATAGTCGTATGCACGCACCTTGTGACTCCAGCCTGCTCAGCCAGCCACACGCTGAGAAACGCACTATTCAACATTTGACCTTGCATTGCCACAGCCAGATGTCCAACACACGGGGACGTGACTTTGGCAATCTCTCTTTGTGGGCTTTCGGCACACAAGGCCAAGGGCTCGAGCGGAATTCCTGCCCAGGATGACAGATGTTGCAGTCATGGAAGAAGACCACTGGACAGAGGTGACGGGCTTGACGGTGACTGTGACAACCACACGGGCCCAGCAAAAGGTGCTTCTAGCGGCTTGGCTACCCAAGGGCTGTTTCATTGGTTGTTTTGCGACCAGAGCTTGGAAGGCAGATTGGCTGGTTTTCGTCCTGGGTTTGTTCCGTGGGGGAGGGGGCAAAAGAGGAGCCATTGCGTGTTGGCACATGCCGGTGCACCTGCAGCGCTGAGCTTCGAGGGTGTTGGCTTGATCCATCAAACGATCAAATCTCCGGTCGCCATCCCAGGAGCTGGAGCTTGGAATTGTTGGACGAACAACATTGTTTGTTCCTTTTTTGGTGGCGGGGGGGGGGGGGGGCGGGCTTGAAGGAAGCAGCAGCGGTGGCCCGAAAGGAGGCCTCTTGCTCCTTGATGGTTGACGGTTGCTCAAACAACTGCAGACTTGCCAGTTGGGGCATGGCATGTTTGCGAGGGAACAGACGGCGGCTAAGGTGTGGGGCACAAACTTCAACCCCGCAGAGTTGACCTATGAGGCTTATTTCACTGTCGCCCGGCAGTCGGGTCGTGCGCGAGTTGCGGGTGTTGGTCGGGTGTGGGTGAGTGGTTTGACGGCGTTTGTATTGCCTGAGATGAGAGGAAGCTTGACCTTTGCCCTTGGCAACTTGGAGGCCAACCAGGATTCTCAGATTTAACGGCGTAGAACAGCATCAATTCAGATGAGAGGCAATACAGCAGAGTCCGCTCATTCTACTGATCGTTTGGTTGCAATTGGTTGTCAACGTGGTGGGTGTGACATGTCCAGCTGGCTGACAGAGGTATGACAATACCACCCGCAGCTGAGGGAGGGGGGGGGGCAGGAGGCAATGGCAGACCCCGTGTCCCGACCAGGTCCTCGAATTGGGATAATGGTTTGCCACCTCCAAAGCCAGGGCTTGAGATCCATTATAGCAAATCCTCATGATCATTTCTTTCTGAAGCTATCATAGCTATCCAAAAACTAGCTTGTTCAAAACCTGCTGCCCAATGATGAGCGGATGGCGGATTTCGATTCGGCCCCCGATGGCCCCCGGGGTTCTTCAACAGGCTGCTTCCTCAGGTCATGCGCCAAGGCAGCGGCGCGACGAAGAACCTGGGCGGGGAAGACCAGGGCCTTTGGTCCGTCGCCAGCGCTGCCACCGGCTCATCCGCCCCTCGCAAAGCAAGCCTCGCGGAGGGCGGAGGGCAAATGGGCGGTCCGAGCTGAAAAAAAAGGGCGCGGAGTTCAATCAGGGACCCTCTGTTTGGTCGGCTTGAAACGGGTGTAGATGCTTCGATCAATAATGAGCAATAAGCCCACTTGTTTTTTGGATGTTAAGATCCCTGTTTGTCTTTCTTTTTTTTCTTTCTTTCGGTTGGCTGTTGGGAACCCGTGGTAGTTGTTTACCTTGTTTTCAAGAAACCTACAAGGGGATTGATATGCTGATGGAATCACCCACAGTTTGTGTCAATCTGGGCAAACCGCTGTCAGCGGCATGGCTTTGCCCGGCGGGCACAGGTGGGAAGAAGGGCGTCCCCCCTGGCCCTTGGACTGCGATGGATTTTGGTCGCAGCAGTTGCAGGCATCCCATTTTGCAGGCATCCCATGCGGAGAGAGTTGCTTCTGGCTTTGCAAGCAAGCAAGCAGGCAGAAGCACCTTAGCAGATGTCCATACAACCTAGCTGGCTTATATACGCTCTTGTGGGCGCACACTGACACAGAGATTTTGCCAAATAGGAAGTGAAACCAGCAGCTTCACCATCTCACCGTATGAAGGAGCATGGCTTCAGGCACAATGATAAATCCTTGCGTCCATGAGATACATATTTACTTGGGGGAAGCCGCAAAGCGGCCTGGGATGGGCACTTGCACGTTTCGGATGAATGCCATCTAGCATGGCCCCGTTCCAGGGTTGGGACACACAGTTGAATCCATTGGCACACCCTGCCAAACAGGATGCTGCCCTGCAGGTTAACATGGAGCCCGGTAACCATCAGCTTTAGACGAATCCGTTTCCGGGGGATCCGTGGCGCCCATGCCCGAGCTCAGGAGTACCCGGCATCCATGAGCATCGACTCCCCTGGGGTTGGCACCTTCACTTACACTGTCTTCTGCCGGACTCGAAGATGTGGCCGCTGAGCTGATTCAGTTTGTGCTTCCAGGGGCCATGGGCACTGGCCATCGGCAGGGAAGTCTCGACAACTTGGGGGCAGGTAGGGGGTACTGCAAAGGCCTAAAGAATTGGAATTGGCTTGTTGGGTACTGTTGGGCCCGCTTGCCACATGATCAGAGAATGCCCCTTTCAGGTTGGTTGCCTGCGCTCTCTCCTTGAACCAGCAACCGCTTGTTTGATGTGGTCTATGGGCCGGACTGCTCTGCCAGTCATGCTGCCGACCAATTGCATGCCGGAAAAGCGCATATCGCATTTCTTCCCAAGAAGCTGTTGGTTGAGTTGCGACATTTCGCGCCCTCCTTTGCGGAAGCGAAACGGTTCCGACTCTTCGGGCCTTCCTTTCCTTGCTGTTGCTCAGTGAATGACATGGAATGACCCTTCCGGGTGTCGGACTCGAACGAACCGGTTTTGGGGATTCCCGAAAAAAGGAAACCACCAGTTGCCTGGTTTTCTTTCCCAGAGGCTCCGGGGGCTTTCAATGGAAGACCCGACCCCTCCATTAGACACCCCGGGAATCGGTGGTTGGGGGTCTCAAAACCAGGTTTGAAGGCCCATCATTCGAATTGGAGCCTCTGGGTGTCGTTCGATACCTCTCCTTCCCTGCATCGCACCGAACCGAGCCGCAGCTGTTCCTCCCGAGGCAGCCTGGTGGAGCCGACCAAAGTGGAGCTGGGCCCGGACGGCCACATCAGCGCGGCGCTGCTCAGCGCCAAGGCCACGAGCCCGGGCCTCGGAATCCATCGGGCAATGGGACGGTGGGCCTGACGCCTGGGCTGTGGAGGCAATCTGCGAGATGCCCACAGCTCCCCCAACATGGAGCCCAGAGAAGGAAGGGGTTGTTCTTAATGGATATCTGTTTTCCACATGAATGATGGGCTTTTGGGGTTCCATGCGGAATCTGCAGTAAGAATGGCCAGCTTTCACACTTAGCAGAGAAGGTCCTCAACATCGAAATTCGACGCCTGTTGCTTGGCCCACCCTTGTGAGGCTGAGGTGTTGTTAGTATGCCCGTGCGGCCTAGCTCCATGACACGTCAGTTCGAGACCCCCGGACCCTAACTAAGACAGATGAGGAACCTAGAGCCTTGTTTCATTCCAGGTGCATGGTTTATCTCATGTTCCATGCCAGACTCTGAATGGCAGAGAAACTCGTACCCTCAACTACCTCAAAGAAGGCGGTCTTCTTTTTTTCCCCCGGTGCTAGAAATCAGGCGGTCATGGCAAGGTGTTTTGCACTTGAGGCCGAAGTGTTGTGGAGATGATGGGCAGGGAGATGGATGCTGCAAGAGAGCAGTAGGTTGTCTTCAGCAGGCGCGCTGCTTCATCATGCTTGATGCTCTTCAGTTTGGGTTCAGCCAACTCCTCTAGTGACTCAACATGCAGAGGGGCCCATTACAGGTACAAAACTAACATGGGTTTGTCTCAAAATGGATAAGCCACCAAAATGGATGGTTTCCTTCAAAAGGAACTTGGCTTCCCTTTGAATCAAGGCCAAAGGGGTACCCTCACGCCCAATTTAGTGCCGCCCGCCCTCGACCCGGGCGAGCCAACGCCGACACGGCCAGGCTCCGCGAATCGCATTTGGCATGTCAGCGCCGACAGCGCGAGATTGGCGAATCGTCTTCCGATGCGCGAGAGCTGCGAAAAGGGCGAGGGAAGGGGCGAAAAGGAAATTGAAACAGTTGGGACCAGTGCCCTTGTTGCCGAGAGTCGGGTTCAGGACCCGGATTGGAAGGTATCACCACGACGGGACGGTTACGTTGCAAGCAGCTATTGGGTGACGAAAGAATTCGTGGCGTCTCAATTGGTACCTACGTTGCAGTGCAAGGAGTTTGGTGTTGCCGAGAAGTGGTTGTTTTGGCACCAGTCAAAAGGGTCCCTGGAAGTGCAGTCGCCCACAGGCTTTTTTTTGTGAGCAGGAGGAGGGTTACTCGCTGGCGCTAGTGTGTCACAGCTGGTGCCTGCACAACCGAAAGATAGTTCGATGCGCGCCAATATTTCAGCAGGTGACCGGCAGTCTTAGCAAGCATGCCACCAAAGCTCCAAGAGTTTTCCTATTACACCCTGGGATTACGCCCTTTGGGAAATTACCGTAGTCTAGTCTATTTGGAGATGAAACCTGGTTATTGTTGTTCGCTTGGGAGTTGTTTGATAATTTCCCTCAAGTGTACAGTAGTGATCAAGTCCGATGCCGACGGAAATTGTTGCAGGAACCTAGCTATCAAGTTCTGGTTGCCGCCTATTCGGTTGCGCGGAGTGCGCCAAGGATCCATTCCGCGGAAATCTTCGACGAAGCCTTCCGCAGCCGGGGGCCTCGCAGTTTTTGGCATCCCCATGGAGCTTTCCTTCGTGATTTGGATTGGAGGTTTGGATTTGGATTTGAACGCCTGGTTCTTGTAGAGGCTAGCTGGAAACCCACCCCTTAACCACTAGACCAATCCAAACCACCCGTTAGGGAGAAGCTGAACTTAACTTCTTGGTGCCAGCTGTTCAGCCCTCCTGTCAAATTGGCAAAACGCGGATGTTGTCAGAAACCCCTTGCTCGGATGTGCTGAAGCATGTTGAGAGGTTTCCGGGATGGGCCCGCTCACGCAAGGGGGGCTTGAATTGTGTAAGAAGAACTCGACGGCACCCTTGCTTTTGAAAAGCGATACCTGCGTATATGCATGGGTACGGTCCAGCCATATTCATACATAGAGTACATTGACCTATACTTCATCAATCTATTTACATTGTCGCATAGTTATCTATGTTTGGTTCCTTGCTTGCTTGCTTGTTTGTTTGCCTGTCTGTTTGTCAGTTTATTTGTCCTTCTGGCTGACTGTTTGTTTGTCTAAATATGTATGTATGATTGCATCTCGAAGCATATGTAATACATACTTGCAGCCAACATACGTGTATGATCATATGGCTGTGGGTCAATACGCACCCCAAATGGAATTCAGGTAAACGGAAACAAGGACTGTAACCTGCGGTTTTTCTGGTGGTTCAATTTTGACCCATACCCAAATATGTGCATATATTCAAAGAGCATGAGTTCGAACAGGTGTGCCCAATTGGCTAATATGTCCTTGTTGCGCGTCGGACCGTCGAAAGGCCGAACTGCGCTAAAGCTGCTGCTCTCCGGCACGGGGGGCGGCTGGTGCACCGTGGACTACGACACGGGCCTGGAGCCAAGCATGTGGATGCATCCAGATTCACAGGGGGTTTGAATCAATTGATCAGATTGCCCGTAATTCTAGGGTTTGATTCCTTTTATTTTATTTTATTTTTTGAACCATCATTCGTTTCAAAAAATCCGGTGGTTTCCCTGGGATTCTAAAGGTTTTCTAGAAGGGATCCCCTGGAAATAATGGGGAAGGTACCCCTAGATTAATTGGTGGTTTGGATTCGGATCCCTTCTTGTAGAGGGTAGATGGGAGGCCACCAAAGCAATCCAAATTACATCAAACCACCAATTGGAAGGACGCTGATTTGATTCCTTTTCTCCTCATTCTGCAGGCTACCCTTGGGTGAGTGTCATGAAGAATGACGCCAGCCCAGGTTGCAAGGCGACCAGCCAAATTATGGAACGGTTGGGGCGGCAGAAAAGCTGCCCTGCCCCTTTTCTTTCATGCAACTATCAATTCAAGAAGCTTCAAGGAGACAGATTTGTTGCCTACTTTTGAGGGAACCCGACCTCCAAGAGGTGGTTTGGCTTTGGTTGCCCTTGAAAACCCCAGGCCTAGCCTCGCTATGCCGCCTTGGGACCCGAGTCTTCGCGCGCAGGCTGCATCTTGGAGGCGTCCCCTGCCCTCCAGAGCCATGTGGGCCACGCACCCAGCGCATCCCAGCGGCCGGGGCCATCTCGTGCCGTGAAATGAAGCCACCCCGTGGAAACCAGAACGCTTACTTGGGAAACCAGCACGGTTTACAACAAGAGTTTTCCTTTTTGGGTGCGTCCTTGCTTACAAAGGATATTTTTGGGTGGGTCTTTGTTTGAAAACACACTTTTTCTCTTTGCAGCATTTTGCTTGGATGTTAGGACTTTAGCTTTTTGCCATCTGATGGATGTTCCATTAAACCACTGAAAGTTAAACTTTTAGCAGGGGAGCAGAAAGCAACCGAGCTTGCACTCCCTCCCACGAACATGGCAGAGGGAGGGTACCTGGGAGATCCAATTCCTCTTGAAGCACGATAGCGGAGGAGAAGGTTACGTTTTGCGTTGTTGGGGTCGAATCATTCCGTGTCTTGGGTGGTGCAGGATTTTGCAACCATTCACAGTATTGTTGATTTCAATCGTCACCCTTTGGGCACAATTCCCGAGTGAGGCTCCTTGGGTAATGTTTATATGGGGAACCCTATCCCCCTGCGGAGCTATTACCCCAAGGCGTCCCCTTGAAACAATTGGCAAATCTCAACCCTTGCCCTTTCCCTTGATGTTGCCAGTGGCAGGGTTTGAGGGAGAGGTTTCCAGGCAGCACACTAGCGCCCTGTAAATTTCAGATGGCTCCAGTGATGGATGGTTGTGGTGCGTAGTTAGCAGGGAATGATCCAGGGTGTTGGAAACCCATAGGGGATGGTTTATCGGGGTCATTTCCTGAGAACTCACCAGAAAAATGGGTGCCCATAGCCACTGGATGTTGACATGGCCAGCAATAGCTCATCCCGAGGCTGCATTGGCGAGGGCACGCGTTTGACAGAGCGCTTGCCTTAGCCGTTTGACAGAGCCCAATGCTCGGGAAGGTTTACCCCGGATTCATGAACCCCTGGTTGATTAGTAGAGGGGTGTCCCCTTCTTGTGTGGAGGGAACTCCTGGGCTTATTCATCCGGGGCTCAGATTGTTTGAGTTGCAACGTGTGGGGCCCGGAAAATTCCGCCAGTCAATGCTTTTCCCATGGCATTTTTTTCTTTCTCGCATGTGGAGATGAGGCTAGTGCGCCTCCCGCAGGACAAGGCGGCACCTGTTGGGCCTCGAACTCGTGTTTGGATTGGTGGCAGACCCGAAGAGGACCCTCCCGAGTCCTTGGCGGGCCTCGCAGGAGTACTTGGAGGAGCTGGTGACCTTCTGTCACAGGTGGGTGGTGCGCGAGGCCACCAACAGCCGCCCCCTGGCTGAATTTCCGTTGCCCTCAGCCAGTGGGCAGCCAGGTTCCCGGCCTTGAGGAAACCCAAAGGTCGGTTCAACCGTAGCTGTTGTACGGTTGGGCCCTTAACAGGAGGCGTGCTGCCCTGCCCACTAAAAGGGGACGCCCCCTGGTAACAAACCACGAATGCGGGCTGGGTGCAAATGCATGCCAGTACTCAGCCGAATTTAAACCATAACATTTCCCTCCCACCCCAACTGCGGTCTGGTGAGGTCTCTCCGAAACAATTTGAAGTTGGAGTAAACATCATATGGAATTTGACCAAAGATTGGAACCGTTCCACCTGCTTTGCTCAGCAAGGGATTGTTCTGACAGTGTTTGTGCCGGGCATATGTATTATGAGGTATGAGGTGTCAGGGGCAAGTCGTCAGTTTAGCTGTCGGTTTCCATATGTTTGGTCCATTTTTAGTTTTGGTACAAGTTGGCCTTATGTCTTTTTGTCCGGACCCTCCATTCAACACCAGCCGTACAAAAAAGAGCAAGTTCTTGCTTTCAGGCATCACCTTGAGCCAGTGGCAAGTGAATGGAGCGAAGAGTTTCGAGCATTCCAAGCGTTCCAATAGCCTTGAGGTCAGTTCGGCGTGGTTACTGGCCCGCGCCCCAGAGATTTGTTGCCTTGGCACAAGGCTGGTAAATGTGGCATGTGCTTCCAGGGGGACGCAGACCAGTGAAGAGGGGAATGCGAACTTGTTATGTTGCCCGCTGGTAAGGTTGCGAGAAAGTCACACGGTGTTCCCCCGTTCCCCGAAATTTGGGGACCTTTCGAAAGAGTTGGTCGGTCGACTAGTTTGCTTTCCACTTGTGTCATTTTGACAATTCGGTTTCTGGATCTTCCTTCCCCGGATTTTTCCATTGTTTTTCTGTTCCCCATCGTCTCCTCAAGTTTCTCTCCAGAAGCAGGAGTTTCAGCTGCCAAAGGAACAACTTTTTTTGGACAGATTACCCGATAAATGAAGGACCATCCTTCAACCATCGAAACAGTCTTCACTTTGTTGCCGGTTTCAGCGAGGCAAAGAGCTGGAAGCCATCGGCAAGCGACTGGAACTTCGGCTATCTCCGATCAAGGCGCTGCGTTGCATGGAGGGACGGATTTTCCGTCAACACTTTGAAACCATGGCTGAAACCATTGGCTGGTATTTACGGCAAAATCATCATTCCATGGTTTCTTAGGTGGTGCAGGATTTGGTCCATCCACAGTAGTGTCTCTCTTTAACCCCAGAAAGAGTACCCGCTCAAATGACGCGACGCCGGGGTTTTACGGCGGGAAGTCAGCCATCATTTGTCGCACGTGATTTGCCGTTTGTCCATGACGCATGGGCTTTCTGCGCATTGTGGCTAACCATTGTTGGCCATAAAGGAGAAGAAGAAACGACATCCGCTTCCTTCTCCAGATTCACCAGGATTTTAAAAAGCTATGCAATTCATACAAACAGGAAGTCCATGGCCAGGTGAAATCGCCAAACGCTTTGCAGAGTGCTCACACCAAACCCGTTGCTTGATGTCAGCCCTCCCCAATGATCATATGTGTGCGTGAGAGCTTCAAGGGCCTGCGAGCCGAGATCATTGGACTAGGGTTGTGGGGTACTTGAACTATCAACGTCATGTTCATCTGACAGCAGCTCCCCGGACTTTGGAATATTGTTGCAAGCATGAATTGCGAGCTTTGTTTGCCAGTCCGCTCAGGAGCTGATTCATCCTTTAGACAGGAGATCTGTGTTGACATGATGCTTGTTTTTAATACGAGGTTGACGAAATCTGGACCAGAACCAAGATGGCTTGAACCCTTAGATGAATTCTTCCCCCTATTAATAAATACGCGCCCCCCCCATTATAAATAAATCCGTTTTTTGTTTTTTGTTTTTTTTTGGTTTTTGCTTTTCCAACAATGTGAGGGTTCACATAGGATTTGGAGGAAATGGATTGAATTGTAAGGTCCGCGAGTAAGCGGTTTAATAAGGACATTTGATGTATCATTCTATTTGTTGTTCATTTTTGTTCATTGGGGGGGAACAGAAATGATGACAGCCAGGCAAGAGGCCAGGCAGGATTGGCTAAGGGGGGAACAGAGCCAGGCAGGAAGCCAGGAAGCCAGGAAGCCGCGCGAGAAAAAAAAAAGAGGTCAGAGAGTCAGGGAGTCAGGGACAACCAGGGACAACCTTTTGGGGAGAGAGTCAGGGACAACCTTTTGGGGGAAACCGCCAAAAGGACCCAACCTTTTGGGGAAGCCAGCTTTTGGGGAAGCAACCTTTCGTTAGTATTGGCGCAATGGAAAATCAATTGTGCGGAGTGGAAATCTGGCCCCGGATTTCAATTTTTTGTTAATTGGGGTCATTGATTAATAGGGGGAACGGATTATCTATGAAGGGGTTCGTCAGCAGCAGGTCACGTCCCTGAGGGCGACGCGGGCTCCGCAGGGCGTGCTGCGCTCGTGGGACAGGAAGGGCTGGCGATGTGCAGGAAAGGAACATCTCACGTCCCCGGCGAGTGGATTTTAGTTCGTTTGAGTGGCAAACAGAAGTCTGGTTACTTTTTCTGACTGCACGAAAGTGAGAAACTCGGAATCGCAGCCAGTGGCTTTCAATGTGTTAGTTGGTCATCGCTTTTCAGAGCTGCTTGGATCTTTGGAAGAGGCCAAGCCCAGATGTTGTCAAGGTATTGCTCATCCAGACCGATGCCTGCACCCCGCGACATTTGGCTCCAGGTTGCAGGCAGACAGCCGTGAAAAATCGGGCGACCAAGGATGGATTGATGAAAGATATTTAAACATGCAGCTGGCCGCTGGCTGTAAACTGCCAGAGACAGAAGTCACAGCAGTCACAGCACAGTGTTCAACCACTGCCTTCCAAGCATCAACGTAAGACCCAGCCAGCACGTCGCCTTCTCGAAAACAGTCGGTAGCTTCAATCGAGCCAAGCGAGAGGTTCTCGCACGGCTACTCTTCCAAGCCATGTTTTCAGAGTCTTGGCAGCCAAGGGCAGTCTTTTCAAGTTCCCCAGCAAGTGGACATTTAGCGCCCTTTTGGTGCGGGTCTAGGTACTTGAGCAGCTTGCAAATGAAGTGAGACAAACTATAATATCACGATAACCCAAGGCTTCCGGAGAAGGCAGCGCAAAACTTAAAAGTAAAAAATCGAGGCTCGTGATTGGTATGTTCTTCCCCCTCTCAACCCCGCTCTGAGCTGCTTTGAGCTGAGGACATGTGGAGCAATTTCGCTGAGGGCCTTGGGTGCAGAAACCCAAAGGTCAACGCCAATGATGAGGTGTCGTTCGCCTCTAGCCCAGCGCCTCTAGGCTTTTGGACAAACATCATCCCAAACCCATGGCCCTCAGAGAATGCGGTACCAAAAAAAAAGGAACCGGGGGGTGGGTACGGTGGATGCGGTAAATGTTGCAAGCGAGGGAGCTGGTTGAGTATGGAATGGTTGGACCTTAGGGAAATTAGGAAGCTGTGCGGGCAATCTATGAACAGTGGAGGGAAAAGAGTGGAATCCTGGAAGAGAGAAGTGCAAGGAAGAAAAGTGGGAAGGCTGCAGGAGAGCGTTGAGTGACGGGGACCATACATTTGCAGTGGGGCAGGGCTGAGAAGTAAGTTTGTGTGGTGTATGTGTGTTGAAGCGTTTTTTGTAGTATGCACGCGTTGTTTTTTGTGTTTTATCATGTAAAGCCGTAGGACATATAGCTTTTAGTAGAGGTCCCCAGCCTTTTGTGTTTCTTTCCATACATCTCTTCCCGGGTGCCCGCTTTAAAGAGGATTTGTTTGATCCACTTCTGGTTGCTGAAGCTGCTAAGGCTCGATGAGCTTGATCCAGAAGAGGACAAGTGGAGTGACGAGGACGATGGCAAACCTGCGTTTGGATCTCTTAGTTTCAAAGTGGCTGGCATTGCCCGAAAACATGGCAACACCACAGCACATCTCCTGACAAAGACAATAAGGGGACCCTTTGGTGGGCATCATTGATATTATGATTCATGATATGCGGATCGATGTCCACCAACCATTTTCGAGGATGTTCGCAAGTAAACATCAGGGTGGTCAAGTGCAAACACAGCTTCTCGGTGAGCGCTTGACAGTGAGCGCCGTTGAGTCTTTGCTATTGCTTCCTTGTCATTTTTGTTCCACGCACGCTTCAAGGCGGCCACATTGTGTGTGCAACCCGGACAGGGTTCAGGGTCATTGGAGAGCGAAATCATTTTTTTCAGATGCAACTGCTGCAATGAGTCGGCCATTGGCAGGAGCTCTTGAAGTGCTTTGAGCAGGAAGCTGTCAGGATCAAGGCCAGTCTCACTGATATTCATTTCGAGGACTTGGCCAGGCCCTCAGATGCCTGAAAGAGGCCCTCAGGAAGGCAGGAAGGTTCGGGAGAGAAGCCGCAAGGTCGCTCTCATTCATTCGCCTTGCATTGTGTAGTCGTACTTTGCCTTCCCTCGCCTACTTTCGATTTCACTCCTGCAGGCCCACTAAACTCCGGGACACCCTGCATATTAATAAATAGCCGGTTGATTAATCCTCCTATAGAATTTCCTGTAGTTGGTTTCTTGGAACAATATATCTGGAAGTTTCGGGGGCGGCGGCTGGGGAGCTGGACCGAGGCCACGAGCTTGTCGACGCGCTGGCTGAAGCGAATCGTCAAGGACGATGGCGATGAGAAGCGCAGAGCCGCATGCCTCGCGGTGTACGCCTTTCCACTGGTGGGATGAATGCGCAGCCCCCCTGGTAGAAACCTTGTTCAAGGGAGGAAAAGGCAAACACTGCTTGGATCGAATTGGTACCCTGACTGGTTACCGTGGAAGCCCTCCAAAAGGCCATTTGTAGAGCAAAAAGGCCTTTGGGGGACCTCCTGTTAGGGTTCCACATAGAATCACTTGGAGGCGAGTGCACGTCGATGTGATCATATGATTTCTATGTTGGGGCCCCTTGGAGCCTGTTTTCCAGCAACCAAGCTGAAATTCACAGTCCACTAACTCCCACCCACTCGTCCGTCCCCTCCCCCATCGTCTCCCCCCTGCCCCCCTCCCCCCATCCGCTCCACTTTTTCCCATGTCGGCTTTTCCCTACTCAACACTTCCAAGGGCCGACACCTCCGAGCGCTCCTCCGGAGCCGCGCGCTGGACACTCGCCAAAAAGAGGCAAAGGCAGCGGCCCTTTAAGGAGAGGCTTCACTGAGTCAAACAATCAAAGGCGTTTCCTCCCACTGGGATTACGTGGTTTCCCGGTCGAGGACGGACACAGTAACAGCACTGAGAACATGGTTTTGTGTATACGCAAGTTGCTTCCTGATCAGTGCTTGTCCGTGTTTGGCCCGCTGCTTTGGTCCTGCCATATCGTCCCCTGGATCATCCTTATTGGACGGGGGCAGAACAGCTCAATGCAAACACATATCCAACATGGCAGCACCCTATCTGCCAACACAGAGGCAGAGACGGAGCAGATCAGGGAGGGGCGGTTGGTCGGAATGCGGCGAGTTGCCAACCAGCCCTGGTCGTCCTCGGTCCCTCATTCTGTTTGCTGGGCACATCTCGCGAAGAAATCCCATCCGAGGGTCGGTTTCATTTTGACATGTGCGCAATATTCCTGATCCATTTACATGCTACCGAGCTGAAGAGGTGGACTATTGACGACTCATGAGGTATGAGACAGATGTTAATGTGCTGGAAGCGTGTTGCCTATGATACTGGTGACTGCAGCAGTGTTCAGGGCGTTCGCGCCGTGTTTCGCCACTCTCGGGCGAAGCTCCTGCTGGAAAAGGGGAGGGCATCTCTTGAATTCAAGGAGCCAGCATATCCTTGCAGACAGGCTTGTGGGAATCGTCCCCGGTGCCTGTGATACCATCTAATTCTTCATTGAAAGAGTGTAGTCGTTCCCCTGTGTGACAGAAGTGGGGCCAACTAACAAGGCTGATCCAAGTCTCATCACTTGCGGAGCGAGCTAAGGACATTCTGTTGTCAACCCTGACCCGCTCTGAGGCAGGGCTGCAACTGGTTGGTTGCGATAGGCTCAAAGCGCTGGTTGCTGTCCGATGTTTGGCACGCTTGATGAGCAGCAGGAAAGCAACGATCGACTTGCTGCAAGTTGTGGTTGCTTTGCCGCGTTTACGTCCGCTAGTCATGGAATGCGTTGCTCCCAAGGAGTGCTAAGGAGCTTTGTGCTCGTTCTTTTGGTGCTAGATTTGCATTGAGCGACTGCGACTGTCAGGTGGGCCGGCAAGCCATCTACGTAGCTTCCAGCATCGATCCCGAAAGGGAAAGCATCGAATGCGCCCTAGCTGCATGTGGACGTGGAACTGGCAGGGGCTGACATCTCTCAAGTTGCACAACTTTGCAGGGCCATGGAAGAAAAGCATTGTATCTGAGTGCCCCGTACGTGGGGCCCCAGCCTGCGTGCAGAGCCAGGCCTTTTGCCGGCAAGCGCGCCAATTGCTTTGCGCTGAGTTATTGTATCGCGCTTGAGGTGGTGCTTGGTGTGCTCCGCCGCCGTGTTTTGTCGGGGCAGCGTTTGGGCGTCCAAAAAAGACAAAAAGTGCTGACTTCTGAGGCGTTTGCTGGCTGACTGGCAGGGAAGAGGTCTAGGTATACCTGACTTCACCAGTGAGGAGGCATGTTGGGAGCTTTGGAGGTATATCTCGACCCCGGAAGGAATGGCACGTGTTTTTTTCCCAGTGTTTCTTTGGGTGGCGTGTGCCATGCGCCCCAGGCGCTCACATCTCGCCGGCGGTGCCCCTGCGACTGCTCCTGTCGAGAGCATCGGCCCCTCATCCCAAGCCGCCGGATGGACGTTTAGTGAAAGAGGTGCTCATCCATCCCAACTGATGCAGGATGTGTCCATCCACGGTATTCCAATTTGATTAAAAGTGCTTCACGTGAGGATTCAGGAAATGCCCCATGCCCCCCCGGCCTTCATGTCTGAAGTTTCTCAAGGAACTGTGAAGCTGACCCCTGCTAGGGCCGAACTTTCGGCATTCCGCACCCTTTTGGGAATGCGCCGTGAGGCATCCATTTGTGGGCACCGGGACAACAAAGACTGCTAGGGAGTTGCTCATAACGCCACGTGGACGCTTAAGTAACTTGCCTGAGAGCCTCAGGACGTGCCCGGAGCTGCTCGGCTGCAGAGAGCATCGAAGCCGAAGTGCTTGGATTGATTGCTCGGCAGGTGAGGCGGTGTCCCGCCTCGCGCCTTTCAAACTTAGCAAAAGAGATGAATCCATCCGGGGCCGGTCTCCTCGTTGCATTTTACCCCGCTGGTCCCAAACAGCTTTGAAAGTGACCCCGGTTCTGACTCGGCAAACCGGTTCGGAGTGTGGCAAAAGCTCGTTTACCCGGCCTCTGCGAGAGAGGAAGCGTTTTGCAGCTTCACCTCGCTCGGCGCCCAGGCATTGATGGGATCCATGCTCGTGCTGCTGTCCGTCGTAGGAAGACAAGGCGCAAGACGGCTTGAACATGTCGCCTACGGGCCTTTCGGCTTCGAATGGGGAAGCAGCCCACGGCAACCTTGGAAGCGTGCAACTTTTGAAGGGAAATCCAATGAACCCTTATGCATGGCAATGTCGATGAGAAAACCCGTGCATCATGTCTCTCTCATTGACTTGCGATGCCCGTCTCAGATGCCAAAGCAGCAGCCCTCTCGCAGTCACAAGACTTGCACTGGGCCGGGAACTCAGGTTCTCAGATGGGAGCTGCGCTCAATCATGCTCTGCCGTTGGTCGGTTTGGAAAGCGGAGTTCTTGCTTTGCACAGGGATGGCAAGGCTGGCCTTTTTGAGGCTCCTCATTGGCGAAGATATTCAAAACCAATGGGATCCCATTTTGGTTGGTAGGTGCACCACCCATTTTAGTCTTTTCTAGTGGTTGGATTGGGATGTTCACTGGGGGCACGATTTGGATTTTGACCCATGGCAATATGTGCCATCAAACCCCTTGGAATTGCTAGGGATGCATCTGGACCCCGAGTGGACAACCAATATGGCTGTGAAATTTAATTCGGGTGCGGTGGACATCAATCATGTAGGTGGGGATTTATGTCCACCAACCACTTTTCAGGGGGTTCCATGAAAGTTCACACCCAAATAAGGCTTCTCTTTAAGGGTCCCCTCAATACCATGGCAATGTTTCACAGGGAGCCACCATGGCGGCTCGGGACAGCACGGCAAGCCCTTGGCACCATGACTACTTCAACGGGCATTGTTCTTAGTGATTAGTAAGCTTGGTTATAACCCACCACTGGACAGAGACTTGTAACCATGGCTTTTGTGGGTTATCTCACCATGGCTAGTACCCACCTAGCGGGTGTCCTAACAGAAAATATTAAGACAGGCTCAATTTGAACATCCACTGGTCCACCTTTCAGCCCGCAAGTAGGCTTTTCTCAGACACCCAGTCCTTCTGTTTCATCCATTTTCCCGTTTTCTCGAGGTCCCTTTCTTGCAGGGTTTCTCGTTGTTTTATCTTGTTCCCGTTTTTGGTTTGAGGGTGGAAGGCTCGAGCTCTGGCCCCTGTCAGCTGGTGAGCCTACGTCAGCCGAACGCCAGAGGGTGGCTCACCGTGCCATGGCCCATGCGGATCGCATCAGTTGGCTGGACAACCCGTCGGTGGGCTCCAGGTTCTCGGGCGCCATCAGGGGCATTGGGGTGAACACCGCGGTGGTGATGCACTCCCTTCTGCACATTGGGATCCCGGAAGATCTGCTTCTTGTGGGAGAGACTGCGACGATCTACTTTGTCCCGGTGTTTTTGAAGGATGACAGACCGACCCTTTCACCAGATAGGCACACCCGACTTGTTCACCATGCAGTTCAGGACAATACAGGAAGGTATCTGAAGGAGGCTTGTGCGGGCATTGGCTGCATCGGCATTGGTGCCCTGCCCTTCGGAGCCCGGGTCCTGGCTCAGTTGGACAAGAACCACCACTGCTGTGAGGTTTTGAGGGCAAACCACTCACCCTGTGTGTTGGAGATGGACATCACCGACTGGAAGGCCACCCATGCTTTGCACGAGGTACACCCGGAACTCCCGGCTTTTCTCGCTGCCGGATTTCCTTGCCAGCCTTTTTCAACGCAGGGCGATGGACGCGCCATGTCGGACAGTCGCAGTTTGGCCTTTTTGGGTATTCTCAGGAGTGCTTATTGCATGCAGGCGCGTGGTCTCATCCTCGAATGTGTCCCAGGTGCTAAACTTTGCACAGGAGTACAGACCGCACTTTTGCAATTGGCATCAGCGATGGGTTTTCAGATCAAGGACGTGGTCTTGCATTTGCACCACCAATGGCCCTCTCGCCGTTCTAGGTGGTGGGTGGTGTTGGCACCTCTCCGGCTGGACCTCTCCCAGTTGGTTCCATGGCCAATTGATGATGAGTTTCAGCAGGTTCGATCGGCCATCCCTGAATGGCCCACTTGGACCCGTGATGTGGAAACCAGCTTGGTCCCCTCGGAGTTTGCCTTGCAGTGTTTTCAGGACCCGAATTTCGGCAGCGATCAACGGCAACTTGTGCTTACGGGCCTCTGCCCCACACTCCTCCACTCCTATGGATGTGCCTTCTCGGCATGCCCCTGTGGTTGCCGCACAGGTCCCTTCACCCTGCACAGGCTTCGCACCGGCGGTCTTCGGGGCATCCTTGTCCTTTCTCAGGCTTTGGATCAACTCAGATACTTGCACCCAAAGGAGATGGCTCTCCTCTTGGCCATACCAGCCCAACTTCGCCTGTGTGATGACCCCTTCCTCAGTCTCTGCTTGCTGGGACAGGTGGCATCACCCCTGCAGGCACTCTGGGTCATCGGCCATCTCCTCCAGGCTTTTGCCGTCGATGAAGCTCCCAGCAGGAGTGTACTACCCTCCCCTGAGCATGCCCTCAGGGACTTCAAGCAGCACCTGCTCTTTGATCGGCACCATCTCTGGCCTCTACAGGCCTCACACAATGATGCGCCCATCTGCATTCACCACGAGGGCACACCCATCCCTACCTCAAGGACTGGGCTACTACAACTTGCAGACCTGCTCCAGGCTGAGCACAAATGGCGACCCTGGGGGACAATCCCAAGGGTCATCGATGGCCAGCACGTGCTCTCACAGGAGGCCATCCTTCATGCGCAGGGCAGGCATGGGCCTTACAACCTGGTCTTGCAGACCAAGAAGGCCAGCTTGCCACAGCCGCCCTCGTCGCTCTGCGTTCAGATCCTCACTGAGCATGGCCCCTTCGTGCACTGTGTGCCTGCTGGCACTTTCCTCTTCCAGCTACTTTGGGATTTCCCACAGTGGCATTACGGCATCCCGATCTACTCACTGGATGGCAGCAAGCAACCGGCTGACCAGCGTTTGTGGACATCCGGCATCTTTCTCCTCTACGACCCCATTGGCTTTGGGCTGCCCACTACCACTACCCATCTCTCTACCACCCACCAACTGGGCCTTGCAGCTTCCCACATTTGGTCAGTTTCCCTTCTCCTGCAGGACTACTCACCACGGAGTCCTCTCATCATCAATCCCTGGACAGCCCTTGCTGTGCTGCACGATGCTGGCATTGTAGCCATCCCAACCAGTCCACCCAGGGAATGTCTCATCCCGCTCGCGGCACAGGGCCACTGGTGCTTGATTCATCTACGATTTGATGAGAACCAGCTCGAGGCTCTCTGTTACGACGGCCTTTTCTCGGTGCCACTTTCGGAAGCTACTCAGCTTGTCTCCATGCTGGCACGCTTCTGGCAGCTGCCAATGCCATTGATCACGATGCGCCGCCACTTCCAACAGTTTGAATCCACCACCTGTGGATGTGTCATGCTAGCTCATCTTGCGGTTGCTCTTGGCCTGGATGGCTCGGGCTTCACTGAGGACCCCGTCGGCCTGACAACTCTGCTCCAGGCCTCCTTTCACGGCTTTGGTCCCTTCGGCTGTGGCCCGCTCACAAATCCGGCCCGGCAAACACTCTCCGCCCTCTTGGTGGACAAGGGTGTTCCCGATGACAAGGTGGAAGAAAGGATCGACCTTGCACTCCGACACCTGCCCCCAGCAGAGATCACACAAGCCCTCGCAGGTAAAAACCCTTGGGCCCATCTCAAGGCCGTTGCCTCGAAGGTAGCCTTCATGTGGATCAAGCACGACGAATTGGAGGCGAAAATACGCACCTCAGCACAGTCGCAGTTCAGGATTCAGCCCTCGAATCGCAAAGCCAAGCCTGACAAAACAGGCAGGAACATGCCGGCCCTGGTTCTTCCTGACCCACAGCAACTTGCCCTCGTCCCGGACACTTTCAAGTGTTCAGATGGGTCCATCGCTACGATGCTACCGTTCAGGCAGGTAGGTCCGGACCAGCAAGGCATTGCCTTTTGCACTGTGCAGGAGGCACTCCCCTTCCTTCAACAGGACAAGGCCATTGCTACAAAACCACTGGCCCTTCTCTCCACAACTCCGGTGCCAACGGATGCCCGCGGCAATCTGCCGATTGTGGATCTTCGCTTTCCGGCACACCACTGCACCACAAAGGAGTCAGTCCTCGTCAGTGGCTCACTCATCCAGCTCGGCACGGGCCAAATCACCAGACACTTGAATGCCAGCCTTCAAGTTGAGCATACTCCTACCCAATCAGTCCGGATTGTGGTATACAAGGATGCCTTGCCTGGCGATTGGCAAGCCTTTGTCAAGAGTCCGGTTCGACAGCTCCAGGTGGTCCAACCGCTCTTCCGCACGTGCCGCCTCAACGGCTGCGGAGACCAATGCCCGATGTACCACCCTCCTGTCGATGAGGTCACTCCTCTGATACTGGATCTCTGGGCCAGGCAGTTCCATAACCTTGGCTCCAAGGCTAAGCCAGAAGACAGCACCACATGGTCCATCATGGCACGGATCCCCAAATCGGCCTGCACGGTGCTCTTGTCCGTCTCCGGGGCCTCTGGCATCTTCATCGAACCCAGGGATGATCGCTCGCCGGACTCACGCTTTGGAGTCATTTGGCTTCCTGGCGCTACCCTGTCCGAAATCCTGTGCAAGCGATCGTCAGTCAAAGGCGCACTTGGTCTGGCCCGCTTCGGCTCCAAGATTGGGTTGCGGTTCCTTGCAACGGACCTGCCCGAAGCGCACAAACTACTCCGACCCGGTGAGGATTTCGTTCCGCTCGACATCCAGGAGATCTATCACCTGTACCCTTTGCCTTTCGGCACTCAGAGAGCTGGTCTTCAGAAGGCTCTCAACCAATGGAAATGGCGGGCCAAGCCATTGCAACCGGTACGCAGCGACAGCCACGGCCTCTGCTGGCAAGTCGGAGCGGTCTCAAAGCCCCCAGGGGAGATTCTCACTCTGTCCACGGGGGATGTTCTGGTCTCCTTTTCACATGCGGCCAAGGCCCCACCCCCAGCGGCACCTCTGCTGGCTTCCACTCGTACGAACCAGCTCCTTCGCTCCCAAATCCACGCCCCTCCGGGTCTTGCTCAGGACCCTTGGGCGTTGGGAGAGGACCCATGGGCAGCAGCGGCACAACATTCTTCTTCCACGGCTCCTTCCGGCAAATGGCAACAGCTCTCCCAAACAGGTCCAGAGCTCACTACATCAGCAATCCACTGCCCACTTGGACCAGCACATGGCAGACGATTCAGAGGATCGGCTCAGCAAACTTGAAGTCGATATGCGGGAAATCAAAGAGCAGAACCACAAGTTCGAATCTTGGT